AAAGCCCTTACCTAATGTACACTAATGATCTGTGCAGTGCCCTTCAAGTGCAAAATACTGGAGGACAAAGTATGGAATGAGAATATCCCACTTAGTTCAGCATGTCCATGCGTACCATCAGAAATTGTGTATTTTTGGACTATGGACTTTACCGGATGTATTTAATCTCTCAGAGTTTATGATTCACATATAACTAAATGGAAAACTTGACAAGATGAATCTCAATATATTTCTTCCACACACTGAAGGTAATCTTAAGTAAATGCTGGGATATCAATTCAACATTATTCAACCCTAACATGTTACAGTCAATATAATTCTAAGAAGAAGGATTATTATTACATCAAGAGACATTGTATTCCAAGGACTATTTTTATCATATGTCTATCTTACTCCTTAATACTTTCAATCCTCTTCGCAATCAGATATTCATCCAGCTCCTTTCTATTTGATGTTTGGTACATCCACAACTTTTGCGGAGGAAGAAATCTCTTGATGATGTCGAGTTTCACTTGAGACTTGTTACTTTAAATATATTAGAATCTGTTACCAAAGCAGAGCAGTTTGGTACTGCACCATTAAATCTCTGCTTTCTGGTCAGAAAAATATATTTTTATGTACAATATTACATAGACTTACATAGACTGTACAGCAGGCCATTCAGCCTAACCTAGTCCATCCCAATGAGAGTGTCCACCCCTCCTAATGCACTCTCCCGTACCCCTCTATTCTCTTCTCCCTCAATCGCTTTGAGACATCCTGTTAACATCAAAGGTGCTACATAAATGTAAATTGTATTGTATTGCATTATTGCTCCAGGAATAAACATAAATTTCCAAATAGCATCACAAGCTTAGATCTGAATGGTTAACTCAACCTTTCACGGTATCCTCCTAGGAGGGATGTAAGTCAGATTTCCCTAGGGTTAAACTGACACTGAGGAGACATTTCTGGGAAACCCAGTAACTAAGCCAGGATTACAGTAACTAAAGACAAAACACTTAGAGAATTAGATAATATAAGACTATAAAATGATATTCCTTACATTTAATATAGCACCTTTCATGTTGAGGGGATATTTCAAAGCTATGTGTAGGATTTTTACTGTAAAAGTGCAGTGACTACATTTTGTAGACAAATGCAGGAGCCAACTTGTGCACAGAAATGTCCCACAGAGAGCCATGAAGTGAGTTACCAATTTTATTTGGTGGATTGTTGGCCAGGACACTGGAAGAACCTACTTTCTCTGTTCAAATAATGCATGGGATCTTTAATGGATACCTGAACAGGTTTTGTATTATAATAATCCTTGCATTTGATATAGCGCTTTTCACGTCGGGAGGACGTCCCAAAGCGCTTCACAGAATATACTGTAAAGTGAATTGACCGTATATTTGTGGGCGAACGCAGCAGCCAATTGCACACAGCAGTGTTCCACAGACAGTCGTGGATTGAGTGACCAAATTATTATTATTGAGTTTTATGTAGCACCTCCAACAATACAGAGCACCCCCAGGACTGCATTGGAGTATCAGCCTATATTATGTACAACCCAGTGTGGAGCATTTTGCCTCAGAGGCAGAAAGCTATGAACCTAGCCAAGCTGACACCTAATCATGTACCCAAATTTTCTGACAATGTGACCGACACACTCCCAGCATTGCATTGGAGCGGCAGCCTAGAGTATATAAATTCAATCCCCTCCACACCCCACCCTCCCATGTGGGGCTTGAATTCACAGACTTCGAATTCAGAGGCAAGAGTGCTACCAACTGAAGCAGATACATCACAGATATGACTGCAAGTCAAAGTCCTAATTGGTGGTATGAGCCTTCCTGGACAAGTACTCTGATGTTCCATGGTGTACAAGATCTCTGATCTTCATTCCTATTCTTTTCAAACTCAGGAAATATCTCGAAAAAATATTACTATTGATACATCGATTTAATTCTATTTTGAGCAGTGTTCTAACAGTCTACTATGTGGAAATATATTTCAGATTGATTGGCCTATTCTGATGTTGCGAGCCAAAAAGAAAAGCAAACAAAACTTGTTCTAATGCATCTCAGGGGTTAGAATATCTGCCACCAGAACCACAGACTACAGTTGATACAATGTGTAAATTCTTGATCCAGGAGCACCTGTGAGCCAACCTTTTGTACATTGTTTTTAAATCATTTACTCTTCATTAATTAGAATAATGAACAATAATTAGACATTAAGAGGGGAGGTCTCTGGAGGGTGAACCAGACTTGCTTCTCCACTGCTCACACATTATGGAGAGTGACGATAAATATGAATCTTAATTAACTGACAGCCTTTTGCATTGCTTGTTTTGCATAAACCAATTAGGAAGCATTTGATCCTTTGATTTTGAAGTAAATTATTGTATGTTTGCATTAGCCAAAGCTTGACATTAAAGGAGTTTTACCCAAAACATTGTTGAGTATGAAAATCTTAATTATTATTAATAATATTAACATTTGAGAGAGCACCTTTCATGTCAGAAGGACATCTCAAAGTGCTTCCCAGGATTTTACTGTAAAATATAATGACTGTGTATTTTGTTAGCAAACACAGCAGCCAATTTGCACACCGCATAGTGAATGATAAAGTTTATTTAGAGGATTGTTGGCCAAGACCGGGAGAAACTCTTTTTTCTTCGCATGTAGTGCCATGGGTTCTTTAAAATCCACCTGAACAGGCAGACAGACCTTGGTTTAACATATCATTGAAGGGCAGCACCTCCAACAATGCAGCACATTCCCAGCACTCCACTGCAGTATCAGTCTGGACTGTGAACTCAAAATTCCAACATGTTGCTCGAACCCACAACCTTCTAACTCTCTGAGGGAAGAGTACTATCATCTGATCCAGGCTGACACATAATGTCCTTATCACCCTAGAAATACAATAATAATAATAATAATCCTTGCATTTGATATAGCGCTTTTCATGTCGGGAGGACGTCCCAAAGCGCTTCACAGAACACACTATAAAGTGAATTGACTATATATTTGTGGGCAAACGCGGCAGCCAATTGCGCACAGCAATGTCCCACAAACAATCGTAGATTGAAAATGACCAATTTATTATTGTTTTTGGTTTTGGAGGGATTATTATTAGGCGTGTGGAGTAAGGAAACTTGCCCAAGGTTTCGCCCTGCCGGGAATTGAACTGAGGTCTCTCGCTTGCAAAGCAAGTGCTCTAACCACTGAGCTACAGGACTCCACAATGCCAAATGCCTATATCCCAGACCTCTTCCATGTCTACTCCTTCGGTACATACTCTGAAGACCATAACAATGCAAAAGTGTGGGTTGTGTGTCTTTCAGCACAAATGATTTCTGTTTACCAGAAGATCTAACAAGAGATGACTGTTATCTGTGGATCTAGCGAAGTGACTGAAGCACAAAGCATGAGAAACAAGTGAAAGATGCAGAAGGGTATGAAATTGAAGGAAACAATCACACACAGGTTGCAATGTTTAAAGAGATTCCCTTTATCTTTTCTTCACCAGTTGGTTTTTTGGCCAACCCTATTAGTGAATAGTAATTCTGCTGTCCCAACTATCATTTCTCCTCTAAATCCATTGGACAAATCATTTTGAATAAGGGTTATTTTCTTGGAAATCGTCAATGATAGATTTCACTCTGCTCAGGATTGTGAATATGTAGGACATCGCCCTGTTTGAAGAATGGGTTTAAAATGTGTGTCAGACTCGATAGTTTGCACTCTTGCCTCTAAGTCAGAAGGTTGTGGGTTTAAGCCCTAGGTTGGGACCTAAAGATCCCATGGCACTATTCAAAAAGAGAAGGAAGTTTCTCCTAGTGTGCTGGCCAAAAAACCCCAAAATAAAATCGGTTATGAGTTTCATGGTTGTGGAACGTTGTTGTGTGCAATTTAGCTGCTGCGTTCGCCTTCAAATATGCAGCCACTCCACTTCACAGTACATCCGGTGAAGCACTTTGAGTGTGTTCCAGATGTGAAAGGGCTCTATCAGATGCAATGATTGCAACTTATTCTGTAACCTGTGGGAATGAAACTTAATTGGAATTCAGATAACATTGATAAGGTACTTAACACACCAGAGGTTTGAAGTTTCTCATGGTTTTAGCCTTAAGACCATTTTCTTTTTAATTTAAGATTGTGTAGAATTTTGGAACATTCTTAGTTAGTCTTAATTTGGAAGCTGTAGTTCATTTGAAAAAAACTTTTTCTGGATACTGTTGAGCATTTTATTCACCAGAATGTTCTGGCTGTTATTTATCTTTATGCAACATATTGCAAAATGGAAAGGAACTTTGAGGGTGAGAAACTACAAACCCAGGAAAACTACTACAGTCTTCGACTCAGAAATTAGTCTTTGAATTAGAAATCACAATATATTCAGAAAAATCTCAATCATACAATACAGAAATTACAATCAGAAATCATAATGTTAAAATGAAAAATTGCCTCAATTTAACAGAACTACCTACAATTTAAAAAAGATTAGGACTATTAGAAATTTGGATGCCCACTATGCTATATTGCCTATGTGATGTGACGTAGGTAGAGCAAAGATCACACATATTATAATATTAACTTTTCTTTATAAATTTTTTGTGTATTGGTTTTAAATGCATTTTAAATCACAACCTAATTTATTCCCGAATCCTCATTGTCCGAGATTGTTATATTTGCTTACGGGGCACGGGTTGTGTTCAAGAAATGGTGAAGTCCTGTGAATCCTCAGCTGTAAAGTACAACAGCTACAACTTGCATTTATAACACACCCTTTACAGGGGGTAATAATCATAATAGTCCTTGCATTTGATATAGCTCATTATCACGTCTTCGAGACGTCTCAAAGAATATACTGTAAAGTGAATTGACTATAGTTTCTGGGGGAAATTTTGTGGGGCAGCGTCTCAGAGCAGTGAAGTATCCATGTCTTTGCAGCTCTCTCTCTCTCTCCCTCATTCTCTGTTCTTGACCACATTCTCCTTCCCTCCACAGCCCATGGGATCGGAGCGGATGGAGATGCGCAAGCGGCAGACCTCGGTGCAGCAGGAGATGCCAGGCTCTGCACAGGCCCAGCAGGCTGCTGGCAACCGCGGCTCAAATGCCTGCTGCTTCTGCTGGTGCTGCTGCTGCAGCTGCTCATGGTACGTCTTTCTGTCTATTTTATCCCAACTCCACAGAGAGGGCGGCTGGAAGGTAAATGCTAGCACGCTAGTTCTATGCTCAAATCACAGTAGGTGATTGTTGTTGGACTCCCCTCTCTCCTCCCGCACCCCAGCATCCAGTGCTTAAACAAAACTTGTACAACTGTTCTTTTAAGCAAAGAATATCACTGTGTAGCATTAGCCTGGAAGGTAAATAGCAGCACAGAGTCAGAACACATCTCTATGGGAGTCTGCTGTCGGACTGCACTGGTATCAGCAAGGAGGCAAAGTGCTGATCTGTTGGGGTTTTTATTTCAGTCAAGCAAAAGAACCAAACCAAACACAGAATCTACAGCACCAAAATAGATCATTCAGCCCTGCCCGTCCGAATCAGAGTTTATACTTCACATGAACCTCCACTCATCATAATCCTCCCTCTCCAACCTCACCCATAGTCTGTTATTCCCTTATCCCTTGTGAAACCATCGAGTTTCCTCTTAAATGCTTTGATACTTTCTGATTCAACCATGTCTTCTGACAATGAGATCCAAATTTGCATGCAACAACAAATTACTTTTGTATAATGCCTTTCACGTCGGGAGGACGTCCCAAGGTACAGATTGTTAACCCAACATACAAGATAAACTCCAATTTGCGGTAGACTTTTGACATATCTACACGATGAGTATAATATGAATATTAAATATTGTTTTATTTTTTTCAGTTTGGAAAAACCTTTAAAGACCAATATTTTTTAGTATCAACGTTAACATTGCATTAAAGCATTTCAAGTTCATTTTTCAGAAGTTAGGTGAGTTCAGAATTGTGCAACCTATTGGAATAATATCAATTACTGAAAAATAAGGTTTTTAAATCACTGACTGAGATTGTCACTGGAAGAATTATGGGGAAAGTTAAAGGAAACTTGTTAGAACATGGAATAGTTTGCCACAAAACAAAATAATCCTAATATCTGATATAATGCTTTTCCCATTAGGACAGGGTCTCAAAGAGCTTCACGAGATTTACTGCAAAGTGCAGTTACTGTGTATTTTGAGGTGAACTCGGCAGTCAATTTGCACACAGCAGTGGCCCACAAACAGCCATGAAGTAAATGACCAATCTTATTTCAGGGATTGTTGGCCAGGACACCAGGAGAAACTCCTTTCTCTTTCGACTAGTGATTGTGGTGGGGCTGAGACCATACAAACATTTGAAGGGAATTGGCTAAACCTATTGAGACAAACAATAGAAAAGAATGTGCAGAAAGAGCAAGGAATTAGTATTCGAGTTATTAGCTTCATTGGGTGAGCTAGCGCTATCCAAGGTTTGATGGGCCAAATGGTCCTATGCTATAATTTCTATAATGGCCCTGATAGATTCTGCCTAGAGTGAGATGCACAACACAGTATTATCATCCATCGCAAATATAATGAAGTTAGTGTTAGGGTTGTCTCCTAAACCTGTACTGTGTCAACCCATTACATATTTGTGTTTCACCTGGAATCACAGCTTTGCGGACTGCATGATAGCATCTGACCTTCACGTACCTGGGAGATCAGAAGCTACACTGGAAATATAATAGAACACAAAATACTGCAGATGCTGGAAAGCTGAAAACAAAAACAGAAGTCGCTGGGAACACTCAGCAGGTCAGGCATCATCTCTGGAGAAAGGAAAGTGAATCAACGATTCAGATCCACAACCTTTTGTCAGAACTGGGGCATACTGGGAGAGAGAGACTTTTAAGGGCTAATAGAGAGGGGGGAAGCAGGGCAAGGAACACAAAGGAGAAAATGGGGTAGAGGGCAGGGGATGATGGGTTAAAGAGTTATTAATGATGCAGAACAAATCAGGGAGCGAAAAAGTGGTCAAGTCGAAAAGAAGAGCAAAACTTCTTCAAGATAGGCATTCCTAGAAGAGAAGTGGCAGTGAATTAAAATATAAACACAAAATAACGAAAACACAAAACATAGATCTCTCCTTGCTTTGTTGCAAGTTCTTTCCCCTTCTCCTTTTTTCCTGCATTATTAACACCTCTATTCCCCAGCTTTTTCCAATCCCCTCCTTTGTTCTGCATCACTAACAACTCTTTAACCCAGTTCTGATGAAGGGTCGTGGAGCCGAAACGTTGACTCACTTTCCTTTCTCCATAGATGCTGCCTGACCTGCTGAGTTTTTCCAGCGAATTCTGTTTTTGTTTTCTGGAAATATAATACCCTGGAATCCCATTGCTTCCATACAGTACTCAGTGATCAATTGTTTATTGAAAACATCTAGAAAACATCTAGCCAAGGCAACCTAATCAGATTGCACATGTTCACATGCACATTGCACATGTACATAAACCTATGGAATCTGAATGTGAAAAGAAAAGCAGCGCATTCTCCACCAAGCTATTGAAGTTACCCAGGGCAGACGCATGATTGTGAAACATGGATACTGTGCCATCAGATACATAGCAATGAGAGTATATGGGGCTTGATGAAATTTTTTGCTCGGAAAGTATTAGCAGCGTTACTGATGCCTAAGCACCTCGTGCAAGCAGTGTTTTCTGCAGGGAATTGCATGTGCATCACACTGATTCAAGGCACCTCAGCTCTGAGACAATCTCAATTCGGGAGTCGACGATACGTCCATCGGTTTCTCTGCAGGAAATGCAGTTTGCACTTCAAGCTGCTTGTTTCCAGTGGCAAGGTGCCAGTAATGCTATTGCTTGCCGAGGAATGCTCTTCTGACTCCACTTCCCCTCTTTTCTTGGTCATATTTAGTGCGTAACATTTCAAGTAATAATAACAATAATCCTTGCATTTGATACAGCACCTTATCATGTCTTCAACACGTCTCAAAGTGCTTCACAGAATATACTGTGAAGTGAATTGACTGTGTATTTTGATGGGAGAAAGTGGCAGCCAATTGTGCACAGCAGTGTTCCATAAAATAGTCGAAGATTGAGTGACCAAATTATTATTATTTATTAATATAATTTTTTTCAACAACTGGGTTCTTACTTACTACTAGGTAAAAATAGGCGTGTGGAGTTAGGAAATTTGCCCAACTTTTCAGCTTACTACACTTTAGAGTATATACTAAAGTGTGACTGTGCATTTTGTCGGGGAATGCAGCAGCCGATTGCGATGTCCCACAAAGAACCATGTAATTAGTGAGTGAGTGATTTTAACACGCGGGTTGGGTCACTCTCACTGAGCTGGGCTGACACATGGTTACTCACTCAGTATTCCAGATCAGCATGCTATATCAAGTTAGCTAAATTTAAGCATTGCAGTGTCTGATTGATTTGGACACTGTCCTGAAGAGCATTCAGATCAATTATGTTAGCAGTTCACTTGAACTTGGGGCTCTGCTCTCTCTACAGGCGAAACTCTGAGGAGATCCAGAATCAAACCTTTCAGCTGGGTATTGCTTGCTTACTCTTGAAGTTCCATCACTGATCCTGTTACTGACAAGCCCTGGAGCAGGAGCATTCCAGACTGATACATTAATTCTTTCACTAACATTTTGTTAAAAACAAAAAGGACATGGAAATCTCTTTTGTCTTCAGTTTCCAGGACTTGGTATCAGTGCTCTCTTTCATAAGGTTACAAGAATTCTGCTCCTAAATTTTTATATTGCAGGTAAATGTTGTGCCATGTTGTGGACATTCTCCTTATACAAAATAAAGTGCTGGGTTTCTAAGGATTAGAGCTGTAATAACAGGGGAGTGTATTAAATTCCTTAGGTCTGTACAACTACAGTATTTTCATTTTTGAGCCTTTCAATTAATCTGGGTAAAATGAAATGGTCAGAACTGATTGAATTCAACATAAATGCAAAACAAAAAAAAGTATATTAAAAACTAAAACTTAATGTTGTGAATACAGTAGACTAGTGAAAAAGGGATGGCATTTTACATTGCAGAAAACTAAGCAAATGGAAATTATATTAGTATTGTTGTAAATTTATCGTTATTCTGCTGCTATTTGCTAGAGAGCCATGGGGATGCATCCTTCAGCCCTGCTCGGGCAATCATATAACTTGGCATTATGTGCTTGTATTGGAATTTTCCTATTTTAAACATAGTGATTACATTTTCCTACAAGAGAAAAATGAACAATAATGTTGACCTAAACAATTGACAGACAAATCATAGAATCATAGAATTATACAGCACAGAAGGAGGTCATTCAGCCCATCGTGTCTGTGCCGGCTCTTTGAAAAGATCTATCCAAATCAATCCCACTCCTCCACTCTCTCCCCATAGCCCTAAAAACCTGTCTTCCCCAAATAATTATCTACTTCTCTCTTAAAAGTTGTTATTGAATTGGCTTCCACCACCCTTTCAGGCAATTCATTCCAGATCCAAACAACTCGTGAAAATGTTCTCCTCACCTCCTCTGTTTCTTTTAACAACTATATTAAATTGGTGTCCTTAGGTTACTGACCCACCTGCCAGTGGAAATAGTTTCTCCTGTTGAATCCCTTCATAATTCTGAAAACTTCTATTGAGTCTCCTCTCAACCTCCTCTGCTCCAAGGAAATATCCTCGCTTCTCTAGCCTCTCCTCATAACTGAAGTCCCTCATTCCTGGTACCATTCTGGTAAATCTCCTTTGCACACTCTCCAATGCCTTGACATCCTTCCTAAAATCTGGTGCCCAGAACTGAACCCAGTACTGTAGCTGAGGCCTAACCAGCGTTTTATAAAGGTTCATCATAACTTCCTGACTTTTGTGTTCCATGCCCCTATTTATAAAGCCTAGTATCCCGTATGCTTTTTTAACGGCTTTGTCTACCTGTCCTGCCACTTTCAAAGATTTACTTATATGATGTTCCTTCACCCCCTTTAAGATTGTACCATCAGCTTACATTGCCTCTCCTCATTCTTCCTCCCAGAATGCATCACTTTGCATTTCTCACATTAAACTTCATGTGCCACGTGTCCGCCCATTTTACCAGTCTGTCTATGTCCTCTTGCAGACTGTATTATCCTCCTCAGTGTTT